AACAAAAGGAAAGTAGCGGCAAGCACCCAAATTAAAGCCAAGTAGAGATAGAGCAAAAAACCACATAGAGGAGGAGCCCAGGCAAACACAAGCAGAACATAAATCTAACAGAAGTGAAAACCAACATCTTCATATATACAACATCAATCCAAACCAAAGCAAGTTGCCACAAGAGTCTATCAAATGAAAAAACTGGTGTATATTGTGCTACTCCAAAATCCTATGTATAGTTTCTTGGCGGTTATATGCTTAATTCATATTTCCATATTACTTGGGTTGGATGCCATCATTTTTTCCTTGATGTTTGTTTTGTATGAGAATGTTTGTGCACCAAGCGTTCATTGCTTAATTGAGCCGACACAAATGGAATTAAAGAAATGCATCCACTCTTTCTCTCTATCTTTGTCCTACTTATTGTTTAACTAAGTTTGATTTGTTTATTTTTGTTCAAACTTTTTACTATGTTGTGGGGGTTTTGTTATACAAATTATTTTAATCATGGATTTATTTTAGAGTGTGCTATAATGCTATTAGGACATCACTTGCAGGCAAAGGAGGTGCTTTAATCAAATTGGCCACATGGAAGATTCTCACCCTTGTTGAATACAAATGTGTTTCGGAAGTGATGGATTCATAGCAATTGGTGGCTTAAAATAATCAATTATTATATGATCAAATCATTATACATGACCTGAAACTTTGACATTGAGTTTACATGTAATACAATGCTGAAGTAAATAAAAAGTGTAAAGTTTCTATGCTTAAGGCAACACTATGCCACTTTCAATCAGATGTAGATTTGGAAGCCAATATCATAGATAGTGATGATACTATGTGTTCATTCTCTTTCTCCTACAAATTAATGTTTGCCTGTTATGGGTCAAGTCCGAGGGCCCAACTGACGTTGTAAGCCCAGTTTAAATCAAGAGTCCAACTTATAAAGATCCAGTATCCATTCCAAAAGGGTCCACGCCTAGTCAAGCTTGCCAAGAGAGTAAGCAGAATTATCCAAGAGCCTTATTCTTGCCGCCTAGGAAAGAGTCAACACCCACCTCATCCTTTGACTGAATCTCATGGAAAATACCGTAACTACCTCGCCCGTTGAGAAGAGATTGTCAACTCCACCAGAATAGCCACTTATTTACTAATAACTCGCCCCAATCTGTTATGGGGCGACTATAAATTGTAAGCCCCACTAAAACTTGAGGGCAAATTATACTTAGTCGGGCACAACTCCCCCATCTCTCTCATCTTGTAACTCTCTGCTCTCTCTACATACTTGAAGTAATAAAACTCTCTGGCAACCTAGTCATTCAAAATGGACGTAGGTCACGTAACCGAACCACTATAAATCCTAGTGTTTCTATCTCTCCCTACTTTACTACTGCATTTATTACTGTTTATTTGATAGGTGGTGTGCAAACCAATTTGTGTATCATCAGTTTGGCACCGTCTGTGGGAACAACAGAATTCTCACCTAAGTACATCTCTTGCTATACCTATGACGATCACCACCAGATCCATGAATCAACTTAAAGATAATCCACCACGAGAGGAGGAGGTAGTTTCTTCACCAACCAATCCTATTCCAAATGCAGAGCAAATGCTAGAGACAATGCAACAGCTCGTAGCCCAAAATCAGCAAATCCTGCAACTGATACTCGTTGGACAACAAGGAGGAGCAAAGCCCGGAGGACCTCAAGCTAGAGGAGCTCTACGCCCTGGGCATTAAGGAGTTCCCCACTTGGGCACCCCACACAGTGGAGCCCACTATGAGGGGACCTCGACCTCCTCCTCAAGCTCCTTCTTCTCATGATGGAAATCCACATTTTCAAGAGGATAACGGCAAAAACTAAAGTGTGAAGCATGGGAACCATTTCCACAACAATTTCAAAGGAGTTCCCAACCACTAGGACGAAAAAATCAAAGAAGTGTAGAATCATCTAGGCGACGTCTTCAATGCTATGAAGGCACAAGGACTCAAAACCATCGATTACCTATTATGGCGAATTGACACACCCTTCATACCAGATGTGGCGAATTATCGACTTCCCCAAAAGTTCAAAATGCCATCTATAGAAACTTTCGACGGTATAAAAGACTCACTTGATCATCTCGAAACCTACAAGACCTTAATGCAGCTGCACAACGTCCCCGACGAAATTATGTGTAGGGTATTCCCAACTAACTTGAAGGGATTAGCACGACAATGGTTCACCAAACTCACGCCGTCTTCCATAGGCTCCTTCACCGTACTAAACAGGTCCTTTGTGGTATAGTTCGTTTCTAGACACAGAAGCCTGCCAGCCATCTACACAGCATAAAACAGGATCGAGACAATCGGGCCTCATCCATCTAGCACTACTGTCTCGTTGCCGCAACACTCCCGCACTTAACACCTAACACAAATAAGGCTTGTCTGCGCTCCTAACACTAAGGATATGGAACCTGCTCCTGGGTACTAGCGCCCCTCTTGTGTCCCCAACGAGCACATCAGCCTCTCTTGTGTGCCCAACTAGTGCAACAATCCCTCCTATGCGCCCAGCCACGCAACAACCCTTCTTGTACTGCGCAACAACCTCTCAGGCACCCAGCATCTCTTAGGCACCTAACACCTCTAAGGCGCCCAGCCTTTCCTGTGCGCCCAATCAGTGCAGCAGCCCTTCCTGTGCGCCCAACTAGCACAGCGCAGTAGCCCCTCTTGCGTAGCACAACAGCCCCTCCTACAGTGCAGCAGCCCCTCATGTGTAGCACAGTAGCCCCTCTTGTGCAGCACAATAGCCCCTCCTACACGCCCAGCCAATGCAGCAACCCTTCCTGTGCTGTACAGCAGCCTCTCAAGTGCCCAAAACCTCTCAGGCACCAAGCCAAGCGCCCAACATCTCTCAAGCGTCCAACCAGGCGCCCAACACCTCTTAAGCGCCTAGCCCAGGCGCCCAACATCTCTCAGGCGCTCAACCAGGTGCCCAGCACCTGTTAGGCGCCTAGCACTTCTCAAGCGCATGCGCCCAGCACCTCTCAAGCGCATGTGCCCAGCACCTCTCAGGCGACCACCCCATAGCGCCCAGTTCCCCAACACCTCCCTCTCCTCTCCAAGTTCCAAATATAAAATGAAGAAGGTCTTAAGAAGTCCTCCAAAGGTGTAATATAACAAGAATGAAGGGAGTTGTCAATCAAAAGGAGCCTCCATGAAATTCAAGTTCAAGAAGAGTTGATCCCTATTTTGACCATAACTTTTGCTCCGTTACTCCAAACGGGGCTTATTATATATCAAATTGAAGCTCTTCATGAGTCTTACAAGACTCAAAGCCTTTGGCTATTATAGGCGCTGTTAAAAGCCCCAAAAAGGCCTATAAACATATGTTTTGACCTCCCAAAATTTTTCCAGTTGTTTTTCCATGCTCGTCCATGGGAGCTCGCCAATGAAGCTCGCCCATGCTCGCCCTACAAGACTCACTGTCTTTGGTTTGTGACAGACACTGTTAAAAGCCCAGAAAAGGCTTAGAAACATATGTTTGGGCCTTCTGAAGTCTTTCCAATTGTGCATTCAGTCGAAATTCAAATTCAACCGAATGCCCTCCTATCCAAGTATCATTGGACACAGGGAATTGGGGGCAAATGATGGGTCAAGCCCAAGGGCACAACCCACGTTGTAAGCCCAGTTTAAATCAATAGCCCAACTTATAAAGATCCAGTATCCAGTCCAAAGGGGTCCACACCTAGTCAAGCTTGCCAAGGGAGTAAGCAAGGTCATCCAAGATCCTCATCCTCACCGCCTTGAAAAGAGTCAACACCCACCTCATCCTTTGACCGAACCTCATGGAGAACACCGTAACTACCTCGCCCATTGAGAAGAAGAGATTGTCAGCTCCACCAGAATAGTCACTTAGCTACTAATAACTCGCCTTAATCTATTATGGGGTGACTATAAATTGTAAGTGTAAAACCTGGTAAATTTAAACTTTTATAAATAAGGGCAAAACGGTAATTTTGTTACTATAGTATGGGTTGAAAACCTGAATTTTTCTAAATCTTGGGTGAAAAAATGGACCTCACCGCTGGATTCATCTTGCAAAATCTAGTTACCACGTTAAATTTCATCGAATTTTGAGATAGTCGAATTTGTTTTATTTTTTTTTCGTATTTTACAAGGCAGTCGAGTCTCGGGTGACCCAAAAACAGGATTTTCAATAAAATTTTAAAATTTAGAAAATAATTAAAGATAAATTAAAATAAAATTAATTTGAACTTGAACTTGAACTTGAACCGGGACGAAATTTAATCGTTTCGGGATAAAAACAGACCTGAAAACAAAAAGGGTTGTGTGGCGCATTGTGGGCCAAGTATTCTAAAACTATAAATAGGGGGAAATCTGACTTTTTGGCCCATTTTTTTATCAGCCGGTTAGCCGTTAGAGAAGAGAGGGAAAAGAGAGAATTTCTCCACATTCTCTCTAAGATCTACGACTCCACGGGCTTTAGATTCACTCAGGCCAAGAGAAAAAGTTGCTCTCCTTGCCAAGGGCTACGCGACCACACCAAAAATGACGGGTTTCATCGAAGGTTGAAAAATGAGATTTTGGGAAAGTGAGGATTCAAGATTATTTTGGATTCTTGGAGCTTCCCAACATCGTTTTATGCTTCAAGAGGTAGGGGTTTTCCTACTTTGGTTCATTTCCCACTTATAGTGTTATATAAAATGTGTGGGTTAAAAGGAATATGTATTTCACTCACTTATGCATATGACATGGGTGAAATGAGTATAAAAAAGGAGTATGTAAATGGGTTAGAATAGATTTTCTTAACTTGAAATTGTTATGTGGTAATTACTTGATTGATAATTCCATGGAAAAGTGATTTTATGGGCATGCTTTATGTTTAAATGTTATGCCTTGTGAATGATGTGAGAAATATTGTGACTTGATGGTATTTTGCATAGAATGCCTAAGTGGAATTTAAGTTGTTATGGCATGGATTATGTGTAACAAGCTTGTGAATTGTTGATATTGGTGATTATATGCACGTGATATAAATTACCTTGACACATGTTGAGATGTGTGGGTTAAGTTGGCTCATTGACATTCATTACATTGAGCATGATGTTGGTAGTGTAATGATCCATTACATTGCATATGCACGGAGAACACATCGTATTTCATAGGTGTGAGTGCATGGTTTAGGTCAAACACCATCCTCGGTGGATGACAAGTGGGCTCGGTACCGTTGAACCAAGATTCAACAGAGTTCCACGGTTGCATAGAAAAGAAAACTTATGTCGGGTATATCAAGAAGGGCTAGACACGTCATCGGGTGCAAGGCCCGACTACTAGTTCATACACTCCGTCGGTGCAGTCCAAAAAGTGTAGAAAGGCGTACGGAGCCGGCGGTGAGATTCCAAAATCCGTTACCTAACATCCACAATGATTTGGTTTTACAAATGCATCATTTTTATTTTAAACAATCATTGGATGCATTTTTCGTCAATTGACGGATTCATTACACATGCACATTGCATTGTGTAGTGGGAGTCGGTGAAGGCTCGGGGGTTAAATTGCATGAGTGGGTCTCATTTCATATCATGACATGACATGTTGATTCCAACATTGATTTGCATAAATATTGGTTGGAATGATTGTTGTTGAAAAATGTTGTATATAAACATTACATATGCACTTAGGTTGGGGAGTAGCCTCCGTAGGAAATATTCTACTAGGCATTGGCTCACCCTATACTGGAACACATTTTAGGTGCGGGGTTCGTACCAGTGGAGGACTCACATTCGAGGCCTCAAAGATGAAGAAAAGTCGATTTGTGGCTTTTGGAAATAAGTTTTGTAAAAACTTTCGTTTAAAACCCTCTTGGAATGTAAATGTATAAAATGTGTTGTATTAGATGTTGTATATATTAGATTATATGTGAAAAACATGATTTAATATGTTTTAGATGAAAAATGTAGGTTTTGGAATGGGTTAAAATCGACAACAGGTGAATTGGGCAAAACTGGACAAAGTGTACCGGTACTGCGTACCGGTACTGTCTGTCCAGAAGGCAAACCGTACCGGTGCACAGTACCAGTACTGTCTCCTAAAATCTGAAAATTTTAAATTATTTTGCCATACTTTTGGGTTTTGTTTTCCTTGGTTCTAATGATACAAATGAACATTAAATAAGGTATATTGGACCTTGGTCGGATTAAATGATTAAAGGAACAAGGGTAATACGTGTGAATTAAAATTTCAGATAATAAAATAATAATAGCGTGATGTCGGATCAAGCGACACTCACGGGCAATTCCGCGGGTTAACGGGTTAAATAATGACTCCCGGTTTTAGGGGCGTCATAGTAAGCCTCGCCAACACTTGGGGAGCAGATCATAATCAGTCGGACACAACTCTCCCATCTCTCTCATTTTGTAACTCTCTGTTCTCCCTACATACTTGAAGTAATAAAACTCCCTGATGATCCTAACCATTCAAAGTGGACGTAAGTTACGTGACCGAACCACTATAAATTTCTGTGTTTCTACCTCTCCTTACTTTAGTACTGCATTTATTACTGTTTACTTGACAGATGATGTGCAAATCAATTTGTGCATCATCAGTCTGAGATTGTTTTAAAGTAATAATTGAATTCTAATATAAGAAGTTTTGCCACTAGGGACATAAATGGAGCCATTTGGTTTGGTCCCAACCCTTGGATTAAAATTTTTAATCTTTTTTTAAATTGCAGTTAGAATTATAGGTATTGTATTAATATCGTAATTGTCATTTTATTAACTACTTCACTTTTTGTATCTATAGTGGGATCTCTTATCCTTTGTTGTTGTAGGTTTTTTTTCCTATCTTTCAATGATATCATATTTTTTTGTTATGGCCAAGGCTTTGGCTAGTGAAAATTATGCAAGAACATTATTTGCAGATAGATTTACATATTGAGAGAAACTATAGTTACCTATGAAGTAATCTAAGTAACTGTCAATGTTATAGGAAATTTTTTGAACTGACAATTCTTATATAGACCAAACATTACTAAGTTTTTCTTATCGACAATTTTAGCAAAATGAACAATATGAAAAAAAAAATGAAGTATATATTTACAACTTAATTAATGTTGAGCAAAGACTAAATCAACTCATAATGGGTAGTCCAACATCAACTTTTACACTTTTTTGGATGTCCCTCTAATATTTTTCAACAATTAGGAGGTGGAGTTGAGACCCTAGACGTTAACATGGCTTAGGAGGTTGTCAATGGAGCCACGACGTTTGTTGGAGCATTTCTAATCATGACTCAAATTTTTACTCAAGTTTGAGTACAAAGTTTGATTTGATACAAAGTGCTCCAATGGACAAATTCAAATTTAAAGAAGGAGAAACTCAAATTTAAATGAGGGCAAATCCAAATTTAAAAGAAATAAAGATGAACATTAGATCTTTAAAAAAAGTTGAAATCTTACCATTAAAGATTTGGATAAAAATTTGAGTCTCTCTTGATTTGGTATAAGTTTGAGTCAACAGCTAGAGCAAATTTTTTAGGTTTTTTTTCTCAAATTTAAATTTGAGTTTAAATTTGAGTTAGGGTTGAAGATGCTCTTATATTGACTATGCCCATACTACTTTTAGAATTCAAAAGAAGAACTGGACCATTTCATTGTCATTGATGATCAGTTTAATATTTGACATTTTATTATAACTTGAAATCAAAGCCTTTACATAGTACTCTCTCTTTCTCTCTCTCTCTCTCTCTCTTTATGTGTGTGTGTTTGTATAAGTTCTGAGTTGAGATCTCCACTTCTATTGTTAGACCATAAGCTATTCTAAAAGCTTAACTTATTAGAGAGTGGTGTAATATAAGTATTTATGTAATACTCCCTCTCACGTGTGACCCTTCTTGATGGTGTTCCAGGAGACTCTTTGTGATTTGAACATAGAATTTCTAGATTTGAAAGCTTTTACAGGTGATATAACATAAGTGTTGGTCTTATACCTTTATTATCAGACCAAGGAGTTATTTTTTTCCAAGACATTAGAATATATAGAGGTTCATTTGAAGAAAAGACACTCTGCCATACCTAAGCTTATGTTCATCCTTGTATTTGATATTTTCGTTTTGCTCAATGTGGAGTGTTGGTTTACTTTTGCAGTGCTCCTCAATGACCATTACGTCATACAGTAAGTATTCCCAGTCTATTCATTCAGCTAAAAAATCATAAATTTAGTTTGTTGCGACAAATACATAACTTAAACCTGGAGATTTTATCTAAATAGTCTCGGTGAATCACTATTATTTACGAGGCTACTGGCCAAGGTAAACATTTGACAACACTCCTCTATCTTCAACTAGTTTACTTGAGCTTTTTTTACATTTTATTGTGTGTATGCTCTCGTGGGTGTGAATTTGTTGTGTAAAGTGTACATAAAGGGACAACGAAAAAAAGACTATTGAGACTTTGTAGTCATTGACTGAAAAAAAAAAAGAAAAAAGATTCTGTGTTCCATAAAATCTAATTCTTAAAAAAGAAACATAAGTAGGAAAAAAAATTAATAATATGATATCACATAGGTATAAAAGCTTATTACCGTAAAACCCATTTTAGTTGGATTTGCCTACGCCATAAATTTTTTGAAAATCAAATACTAAATCTTGTTATAATTTACTAACATCTTTTCAACATATCTTGTGAGGGATTATCCATTATCAATTAGAAGCCATGGAGGATTGATCAAACAATACAGTAAGAAATTTTCTCCTTCTAGCTTTATGTAGTCTTCCACGAGTCTTTTTATAAAACAATAGAGACAAGGAAAAAGGAAGGTAAGAGTGAGATGGATTATTTCCTAATAATCCAGTAATATTTCAACTTCATTATTCTTGGTATGTTCCAAACTTTTGATTAAAAATATATTTTCTAATTATTAAATCAATTATAAATAATAACATATACTCATAATAGTTCATGTGCAATGCACGTTTGCATAAACTAGTAATATATATGTGTGTGTATATATGTATAGTATTTTCATGGTGTGTATTATTTTATAGGAGTTTTACAATAGGAATAATGTATATATAAACCATTATAAAGATTCATAACTTTTGACATAGCTTATAGTTCACGATTTACTAGTAGGTCTATTAGTTTCTTTCGTCGCTCTCCGTCTATGTGAAAGGGTGGGAAAAGTTTAGATAATAGTGGGCTCAGAATTTGGGAAGGGTTTTTGTGTTTCGGATTGACCTACGAGATCCCAAACGCAGCACCATTTTGGCATTTGTTTGATTTACTATAAAATTTTTTAGAACGTCACAGTTTTCTTTGAATAACACCGTGTGTTGTTCTCCAAGAATTGCAGATGAGCCGGACCCCCACGGGACCTATAAAAACCTCAGTGGTGCTCTGTTTCAGTAGACCCTACAAAACCCTTAGTCAAAGTTATATATTTTTTTATGATAAATTTCATTGTAACTGTCTGGTTTCTGAAATATTATTGCAAATCCCTGTAGTTTATATACACATCCTTGTACTTTATATACACGTTTCACAAACTATTTTTGTCGTTACTGATAAACAAAAAATGTGTGATAGGATGACTTATTCTTTTATGAGTTGCCAAATTTTTCCTTGATCATATAAAACAAGCTTAAAGTAGTAGGAAACATCATTTTAATATTAATTTAATTAAATTAAATGTTAATTGGATTAAACAAAATGTTTCCTATAAAAAAAGGATTAAACAAAATGTTAATTTAGTGTTAATTTTAAAAAATAATATTGATTTGATAAAACTAAATATTAAATTCAAAAAATTGATTGTTAATTTTATAAAATTGAATGATCATTTGGTATTGAATCAATGAAATTGAATGTTAATTTGAAATTCAATCAAAAAAAAATAATGTGTGAAAAAAAATAATAATTTTAGTTTGATAATTGGATGTTAAATTGATGAAATTAAATATTAATTTGGGGTTAATTTAATGAAATTAAATTTTAAATTTAATGAAATTGAATATTGATTTGGTGTTAATTTTATAAAATTGAATATTGACTAGGATGGGTGACCCCCTGAGAAGTTCTCATGTTGCACCTCTTTAAAAAAAATAAAAATTAATGAGATTGAATGTCAGTTTGCTAAAATAAAATGATAATTTTATAAAATTTATGATCAATTTCACGCTAATTTGATAAAATATTGTATTAATTTGATGTAATTTAATGTTAATTTGATAAAATTTGATTAACTTAAGGTAGTTAATTTGATAAATTTTAATATTAATTGGATAAAATTTATTATTAATCAAATAAAATTAAAGGTCAATTTGATAAAATTATAAATTAAAATTATATTAATTTGATGCAATTATGTTAATAATGGTAATATGCGAAATAAACATTTAAATTTCACCAATAAAAAAAAATTGTGACCATGGTTAGGTTAGGTCATAACATAGGATAAATTAAAAAAATAAAATAAAAATATAAGGGTAAAATTGAATAAATCTCCTGTAAAATTAGAGTTCTAGAAAGGATAATTAAGTAAAATCACGGGACAAAAATTGATAGGAGTATTCAATGATACTTAAAGAACTGGAGGGTATGTGTGTGAAGTATGACTTAAATCCGAGGGGTATTAATGAAATTTATCCTGTTTTCCACTGGCCCCACAGAGTTGGGATCGTCTCAATCTGAAACGTTTCTAATTTTTCCCAATTCCAGTGAGTGATCATTTATATCGAATCAGGGATTAGACGCACATGTGGGGCCCAAATGATGATTAGGGAGGTACTCAAAATGTGAAAAAATGGAGAAAGTTGAAATGCAGAGGATCCGAATACATCGCCACAAGATCTGAATTTTTTTTTGGGTAAATTATATTCGACCTCTGAATTTTGTCACTAAAACATAGGGGTGCAATTTGGGTTGGACAACCCGAGTCTAACCCGAAAAAATTAGAACTTAAACAAGAGTTTTTTAATACTTGAGTCAAAAAATTTTAATCTGAATTTAATTTGGGTTGGACTCAGGTTAAGGCCTCGTAAATCCGAACACGACAAATTAAAAAAAAATTATATATATATAACGAGCATTAGCACTGATTTTTTATTTTTGTTATTTCATTCTCCGTCTCTCTCGTTATCTTTGCCTCTCTCATTCTCTTAGCCTCTATCGTTAAAAACTTGGTTGAAATTATTGGTTGTTAATTTAAGTGAATATTGTGTAATATATGTATTAAATTTAGAACAACAATTCTATTTTGAGCTCTACCTGAATTGAACCCGTAAAGTAACTCAAAATCAGCCCGAAATTATCAACCCGAACCCGTCTGAATTAAACTCGGGCAATGTTCAGGTTGAGTTCCCTAATCTGAGGTAGGGTGAGGAGTTAGGATTATGATTGCAGATTATATAGGTAGAGTTAGATTAGAATTGATTGTCCAACACATAGATCCCCTCATATATGACATATTATATTGACACCTCTCAAAGTTTGTACGTACAATTAAAATCCATTTGAAACGCCGTCAAAATTTGATGATGTCATCATTTTTAAAATTTTAATTCCAACTCTACTCCTATGCCCTTTACGGCGCTCCACCACCAGGCCAACCATACGCCGCCCTCACCACTGACTCATGTTTATTTTGAGCCCAAACATAATCACCAAATTAGAGCCACCACTCTGTCAAATGCATAACCACCACCATCCCCCAAAAATGACCACACTGCCACCACCACCCATTACCACTTGCAATAAACCCACTATGCCCCAACATAGTCATGTTGCCACCACCACCACAAACCACCAAAAATTGCAGCCCACTGCCACCACCACAAATCACAAAAAACTTGCAACCCACTTTCACCACCACCGATAAGGCCATAACCACTACAAACCCAATGTGCCCCCACACCACTTGCACTGCCACCACCAGATCTTTGTTGATTGGCTGACCGATACAAGAATTCCAAAAATCGCAACACACTGCCACCACTACCCATATCCAACCATTACAAACTATTGTGCCCAACACTCACACACAGATTAATTGCAATGGCACAACCACACCAAAACCCCAAAATCACTACTCAACTATGTGCGGTTGAGTGTGTGAGAAGATCACGAAAGAGAGGAGCATATGAGAGGAAGAAGATGAGAAGCGCGTGGGTTTCATCGGGAGTTGGCAGCGAGTTAGGGTTGGGGTTGGCACTTGGGGGTGTTGGTGTGGGTGGGTGGATGGGGGATGGTGGGTTGAATCACTGGTAGAGTTAATAGTATGGTCGAAGGCAAGTGGGTGGGTATGGTGGTCAGCCGGAGTTGGGACAAGCCACAGGGTGGGTTTCATTTGGTGTTGGCAGCAAGGTAGGGTTGGGGTAGGCACTTGAGGGCGTTGGGGTTAGAGGATGGTGGGTTGCGTCACTGGTGGAGTTCATAGCGTGGTCGGAGGCAGGTGGGTGGGCATGGTGGTGAGCCGGAGTTAGGACAGTGGCTTTGAGGAAGATGAAGTGGTGGTGGGGTTATTTATGAGTTTGAGGTTGTTTGGATATGGATTGTGACAATTCTATGGTTGGAATAAGTTGTCCAAGATAAAGTTTATTTGGGTTATTGGTAAGGGTTAATTAGTTTTTTCATTTGTTCTGTTTGCGCCATTTGGAAACCGTTGTTGTGAAGGGTGTTAGTATAAATTACCATACCTGAGGGGGTCTAGGTGTATTAGTGACAAATCTCAGGGGTCTAAATGCAATTTACCCTTTTTGTTTTTTTTTTTGATCAACAAAAAATCTCAGTTAACGTTTTGCAACTTATGTCCTGACTCCCGAATGTGGCTCGATCCCAAGGTGTATTTGTAAATGAGATTGAAACCCTCCTCTGGGCAAGAACATCGAGTGCCAGTCCACCGGAGGAAACTACCGTCGACGACGTTCCTTTCTTTCCGTGCCGGTAAAATCACCGGACAAATGTTGCCAGATTCCTCCACCTCTGCCACCGCTACTACGACTATCCTCCTCCGCCGCGCTTTCATTTGCTTGGTCTTCGTCGCTACTATGTCTCTGTCTTGCTTTATTCTCATCAGAGGCTACGAATCGATTGGGCTTCGTATTCCCAACTCATTCGGCACCTCGTCTCGCCTCCATCTCGTCCCCTCTGCGGTTGATGATTTTCCACAGGTGAGTTTGAGTTCAAGTTTTTCTGTCTTTTTAGCGTTTCTGTGGTGTCGATAGCCTAGTTCAATGAGTATGTTTTTCAATAAATTTCAATTACATTTCCTTTCGGTTCAGTACAAGGTTTTTATACCTATCTCTTAATGCAAACAAAAGTGACTGCAACAAGCTTTAATTTTTTCCTCCTAATCAACAAAAATAATCGATTAAAAGTTAGAGACACAAATAAAAGTTAAATATCTGGATATTTTTGTCAAAATCTAGATATCAGTTTAATTTAAATATCCAGATATTTAATTTTATCAAGCGCGACAAAAGCCAAAAACCAATATAACTATAAAACAGAAAATAACAAAAAGGGAATTAACTACAGTCATTTGCAAAACTGAGAGGCAAATTAATCATTTAAAATTGAATTTCTATGAGTATCCATATTTTGAAAGTGTTTAATATTTAATTCTTTATCAATAGAAATGAAAGTGTCTTTGGCTAGATATACAATTAAGTTGCAGAATTACAATCTGTAATTTAATAATTTATTTGATGCGCTATATTCCAAGCATTATCCTAAAGATCTAGAAATGGGAAAGGCATTAACGAAAAATTCATGAAGATAGCATTGCAATATCATTAATATATCTAACTGAAACACAGTAATCAACATTCATAGAAAATAGAGTCAGCCAGTCGCAGAAAAATTAGGCGATTATAAGACAGGTCATGTTCAAATTAAGACATAAACCGTAAATGTGCAAATCAAGGTCAATAGCAGAAAGTCCTTACGCAATAAAAAATATTAAATATACAGTTACAAGTCTAACTCATATATATTTTTGTGGGTGTTTGTGTAATTTTCTGAAAGAATTTCGGGGTGGGCTAGGAATCCCTAAGTCCCTTTGGTGTTTGCCTAAAAATTATAAGGCAGCTCTGGCTAACAATTTTTTATTTTTAAGCAGGTTTTGTTTTTTGGAGTTTTCTATTTTTTTTTTGTTTTTTCTTTGTCTGAGATTGCTATATTTCTTCGAGCTTTATCACATGTAAATTAATATTTATTTTTTTTTGTTTGACGGTCAAGAGTGTCTGGGCCAACTTACGCGCATCTCGACTAATCTCCTCTCCGGTCACGTCAAAGACAAGCTATCCATGGCAAAACTATGATATTCATGGAATAGTTAATATACATATGAATATGTATAAATGCATCATTTACATATTAAAGATGCATAGAGATTACTTTTGCAAATGGTAATTTGCACTAAATTTTTGATAAAATTGCTTTTGTGCTTAGGAAAAGTTATTTAAAAGAAGTATATCATATTATGCCTTTATGATGAAGGTCACCAAATTATTCAAACTATAATTAAAGTTTAGATATCTATCCGGTCCTTCTCCGTTAACACTCTAACATGGCCAAACCTGTCAGAATAATATGACCCGTTTAGTGCATTCATGTGTGTGTTGTTGGGATTTTTTTTTCAGTATTTTCCATAAAGCTGTCTCTCTCTTGCTTTTCTAATTTTCTATACACATTTTTTTTATGAAGGGGATTTGAACCATTGACTTTAAGAAGATAAAACTTTCACAAGGTTATTATTGTGGCATATTATATGGCCCTAGAATTTGTTTGGTGATGACTAATTGGCCTTCTATAAGGAGTCCATTGCATTGGTCAAACTTTTGTATTAATGATATTTTGGCTCAAAATGTTTTGGGCTTAAAATTGTGAGGTTGCGATCTTGAATTGGAAGACAATTACTAGCTACTTTATGTAAATAATTTCAAAGGTTGTCTCCACCCAACTCTTCTCTTTCGATGTTGTCAATTAACGGGTAATGACATTGGTTGTAACGATTGTTGTTGAAAGGGTAAATCTCATAAATGTCCTTTGAACTATGACCTTTGTTTTAATTTATCCCCTAAACCTTCAATTGTCTCAATTTGTCCCTTGAACTATGTCATTTGGGTTTAATCGGCCACTTTCGTTAATATACCCATTAAATTAGACAGATTAAGGATTAATTTTAACACAATCTGCCTCATTTACGATTAATCTTTATGAAATGTGTCTCATTTATTGATTAATCTTAACATAAAGGATCTATTGAGACAAAATTACATAGTTCAGGGGACAAATTGAGATAATTTAAAGTTGAGCTGGCAATTTAAAGAAAGGTCATAGTTCAAGGGGCATTTATGAGATTTACCCTTGTTGAAATATATAAATGCTTATGCTATCCTATTTCTAGCGACATAAGCTTAGATGGGTTAGTACTTTAATATGGTATAAGGGAATGAGGTTTTGTGCTCGAGTCTTCCTGCAATCTCGATGATTATAATACCCACATGTGCTTGACACAAATTATGGCTTGCACGTGAGGCGATATGCCGAAGTATACAAATACTTATGCTATATATTATCCAATAGTTTAAGCTTTTTGATAATTGGTGGCCTAATATTTTCCAACTCTAAATTTTAACATTGCTATGAGACAACCGATCTGATTTTAGAAGACTTTCTAGACACCTGCAATTTCTGACTATGATTTGCATAAGATGGGGTCAAATTTTAGGTTTTTCAATTACGCTTCTCCATTACCAATATCACAAAAATATTTAATATAATTTGTCCCAGAGTTCAAAAAATAAAAGGTCAAAGTCGAAACGTGAGCCTCGTCTATATAATGTAACGAGGCAAATTCAATTAAGTAGCAACTGATATCATATAGAGACAACATATTCTCGCTAGCTGCTGGACTGTTAAACAATTAGACGTTAAATTTTTAATAATTGCTTCTCTTTTATTCATGATTTCAGTTCAAACATGTATCTTTAGTTCAATGTACAATAATATGTTTGCACCTTTTTGCCCTTTTTCATGGAACTCTCAAAATTGTTGTAGGCCAGTGGTGAACAGGCTTGAAAGGGTTTTGAAGGTTGCTTCTATGCCGGACAAAACAGTTATTTTAACAACTCTAAAGGAAGCCTGGGCTGCTCGAAGTTCGATCATTGATCTTTTCCTTGAGAGCTTTAGAATTGGAGATCAAACCCGTAGACTTTTGAATCACCCGGTGATTATTGCTTTAGATCAAAAGATTTTTTCTCGTTATCTTCTTGTACGCTCCTATTATTTTGTCCTTGTTACTAAAAGGGTTGATTTCTCTCGGGAGACATATTTTATGACTCCTAATTACTTGAAGATGATGTAGAGAAGGATTGATTTCCTATGGTCTATTCTTGAGATGAGTTATAGCTTTGTTTTTACGGTACTCCCTCTTTCTCTCTCTCTCACACACAGACACACACAAGCAAATATGCATATGTGAACAAATATTTTCTTGTGTCTGGTTAAGAGTATTAGAATATTATTATGTGTAAATACTAGGTTGTAATAAGTATATCATATAGAGGGTATACTCGTCATTTGAAGATAACTATAAATTCAATATGTTTGTGAGATTTGTGAGATTTAGGTTAACATTTTTTGACCTATGTGTTTCTCTAATATTGTGTTATGTTTATTCTTTAAACCTAAGATGGTATCGTAGCAAGCTTATTGATCCAAAAATCTGCAATTAGTCTTTCTTTTAAATTGAGAATTTGAACTCGTAAATTCTTCTCTTCCCTTCCCCTTCTCTGCTGGGTAGGTTGTCTTAATAATTATTGAGTGCAACCCATGACCAAGGTGGGTAGTCTGTGAAGTCCATGGTTGTGCGTGTGATTGAAGTTAGTGCCGGTGATTTGCGTTAGGTGTTGATATGTTAATGAGAATCATCTCGTCGGAGTTGTGGTGGTCGTCGGAGGTGGTGTGAGGTAGTTCTGAGTGGTTCGTTGGATCACACACATCGTTGTGATCGTGTGTGCTATGGAGGTCAGTGCGTTGTTGGTGGGGTTCGTCTGGTTGTTCACCCTAGTTGAGAGCCGTCGCAGTCGCTAGGTTTTTGTGAACCCTTCATCGCGTGAAGAAGGAGTTTCGGGTGGGTTAAGTCGATTTTTTGGACTTCGGGTGGGTTATTTTAATTGACCTAGTCCAATTTATTTTGACCCATCAGCTTATCTCAAGGTTTGGTCGAGACCATTCAAGAAGCCCAGTTACATCTGGTCCAGCCCAGTTCCAGAACCAGTGGTCTAGTACAGTGGTCAAGCTGGTTCAACCTAGGTTTGGTTCGGCCTAGTTCAGTCTCTTTCCAGGCCGGTCCTACACCAGTTTTACACCGGTTCAGTCCGGTTTATCTCTCTGTAGACCAATTTTGTCCCGGTTCAATGTTTCAACCGCTTCTTCAAATCGGTTCATTGTTCTAGAAGGCTTGTTCAAGCCGGTTCAGCGTTCCAGCAGTACTGTTCAGATCAGTTCAGCAGTTCTGTGCCCCTTTCTGGTCCGGTTCAATAGCTTTGTCCGTCATTCTGGTCCAGGTCAGTAGACCATCCTTCATTTTTGGTTCGGTTCAGCAGTCCAGCACCTATTTTTGGCTGGGTTCAGCAGCCCAGCAATTATTTCTGGCCCGTTGCAGCAGACCATCCTTCCGGTCTATGTTGGTTTAGCTGTCCAGCAACTTCAGTTGTCTCCTGTGTTGCCTCTATTAAGGTCTGTTATCAATTTGCTGTGTTTTTTAGTTTGGAAATATGGAATTGAAGAGTGATGACCAGCCTATCATTACATCACCTGTGTCATCGACCTTTCCTCCTATGGTTCACCTTACAGGTCCCATGACTGATTTTTTTTAAGCTTGATGTGATCAATTATGTTTTATGGTCTCGTTTAGTCCAAGTGTTTCTTAGGGGCAAATGTTTTAAAAAATATTTGGTGGGAACTGAACCCGAGAAAAGTGATCCTGGATATAATCGGTGGGAATAGGAGGATGCTTAAATTATGTCTTTATTTTTGAATAGTATTGAGACGAGTATTAGCTCTATCTTGCTTTATCTTGACATGGCCAAAGTAATTTGAGATCACTTGACCATTATGTATTCTAGTACTAGTAATTTCACTCGTGCTTATGAGGTGTGCCAACAACATTTTTGCGTGAACTAGGGTACTCTAAGTCTCACAGATTATTATTCTCATGTAAGGGAGTTTGTGAGAAATTGAAATAGTATAACCCTTCACTACTGATGCAGCAGTTCGGCAGAAGTAGTATGAGGATATGAATGTTGTTCATTTTTTGATGGATTTGATACTTGAAAATGAGCCTATTCACTCTCAGATTTTGGGTGGCTCTAATCTACCCTATCTCGTTGAGGTTTTCTCACGACTACAACTTACTGCCTTATCTACTAGCTCTTCTGTTATTGATCATGGCTTGCCCACCAAGCACTCAACTCTTGTTGTTCTTACTGGCCACAATGATAGCTCTCGAGGTAACTGTGATAATCGTAGTAATTGTGGAGGTTGGGGAGGCCGGACTAGAGGTCATACTGGAGGTCGATTTGGGTCTTGTTCATGCATTCATTGTGGTCGTGGAGGTCACATTGTTCATTATTATTGGGACTTACATGACAAATTTGGTGCTACTAATTAGGTTTTCTATCAGGATGACATTTCTTCTTTACCTGATCTCAGCTCACAGCCAGCTCTGCTTGACTCTGAGTTAGTTACTATCACGCAAGAAGAGTGTGCTCAGTTCATGTGTCAACAACAGTCTATTTCATCTTCCACTGCTACCTTTGCCTAGATAAGTATTGCTTCCACTTGTTTACTATCCTCCACCCGCAGTCCCTAGATCATAAACTTCGACGCTTTTGACCACATGACTGGTTCGTCTAGTGTCTTTTCTAATTGCCATTATGTTCCTTCCTTACATAGTGTTACACTTGCTAGTGGTACTTCTTCTAAGGTTACAGGTTTGGGGACTACTCTATTGAGTCCTGATATGTCCTTATCCTCTGTTTTATTTGTCTCTTAGTTTTCTTTTTGTTTACTTTCTATTAGCAAGATTACCCATTCTCTCAATTGCTTGGTAACTTTTTATCCTTCTTATTGTGTGTTTCAAGATCTTCAGACGAAGAGGAAGATTGGTACAGGGTATGAAGTTGGTGGTCTTTATTACTTTGACCGTGATCCACCTTCTTGGGCACTCTAAACCTCATCCTTTCTATTTCAGTGGCATTGTCGTCTTGATCATCCCTCTCTCCAGAATTTGAAGCGTCAAGTTCCAAGCCTTAGTTATATGTTTCTTGTATTTTGTGAAGCATGTCAACTTAGTAAGCGTCACCGTATATCTTTTCATTCTAGAGTTACTAATCGTGTGTCTAGTCCGTTTGAATTAGTGCATTCTGATGTATAGGGTCCAATAAAAAATATTTCATCTAATAAATATCCTTATTTTGTGTCATTTGTGGATGGTTATTTTCGCGTGACTTGGTTATTTCTTATGAAAGCTTATTCTAACTTATTTTCTATATTTGAGACTTTTTGTAAAGAAATTAAAACCCAGTGTAGTTTTCGTATTCGTCTTTTACGTTTTGATAATGTTCGTGAATATGAATCTGATCCTTTTTCAGCATATCTTTGTAAAACTGTCATTATTCATCAGATTTCTTGTGCTTACACATTCCAGCCGAATGGTGTTACTAAGTGCAAGAATCGTCATTTGTTGGAAGTTACTTGTGCACTATTATTCCAGATAAATGTTCCTCGTTGTTTTTAGAGTGATGTTGTGTTCACTGTTTGTCACCTTATTAATCGTATGTCATCCTCTATGTTAAATGAATAAAATTCATTTTTTGTCATTTTTCCTACTAAATCTTTATTTTTCTTAACTTCTGAAGTTTTTGGTTGTGTTTGTTTTGTTCACAACTTGGGACTCGGGTTTGATAAATTTGACCGTCGTGCTACCAAATTTGTCTTTCTTGGATACTCTCACAAACAAAAAGGGTATCATTGCTATAGTCTTACCCTTCGTCGGTACTTCACTAGTGTTGATGTCACTTTTGATGAATCTATTTCGTATTTTTCGGCATTTGCTCAACCTCTCTATCTTGACTTTGGGTTGTCACCTATACCCCCACCTCTTCCCTTGCCGTCAGTTTTTCCGCTGCCTACTATGTCACCATCTATTTCATTCTATGTTTACGCGCGAAGTTCGTGATCATCGACTGAGGTGCCTCTATTGTCTTCCTTGCCGCGTCTGGATCCTGGTCCCATAGGTATTTATGTTTCTTCACATATTATTCTTCGAAAAGGTACTCGCTCGTGTGTTACTAACCATCCTATTGCTTGTTTTATTTTTTATTATGTCTTGTCTCTTGTCTTCTTTTGTTTTACCTCTCAACTGTCTACTATCTTTATACCTAAGACCTTACAGGGTGCGTTGTCTGATCCAATTTGGAGGAACGCTATGGAAGTAGAGATAGATGTCTTACATCATAATGGGACTTGGGAACTAGTTTCTTTACCGCCTAGTAAACGGACTGTTGGTTGTCGATGGGTGTATACTATTAAATTTAATCTGAATGGTTCAGTTAAGCGCCTCAAAGCTCTTCTTGTTATTAAGGGCTTTACTCAAACCTATGATATTAATTATGAGGATGCCTTTTCTCTGGTTGCCAAAATCTCCTCAATACGTATTTTGATTTTTTTGGCTGCTAATCTTGATTGACTTTTGTTTTAATTAGACGTTAAGAATACTTTTTTACATGGTGATTTGGTAGAGGAGATCTACATAGAGCACCCACTTGGGTTTACTGCTAAGGGGAGTACTATAAGAGTGTGTCAATTAAAGAAATCTCTGTATGGCTTGAAGCAGTCACTGAAGGCATGGTTTGATAAGTTTTTAGGTACAGTTTTAGAGTTTAGTATTATTCGATGTCAGATAAATCATTTTGTATTTTATAAATAGACTGATGCTGGTCATATTCTATTGGTTGTTTATGTGGATGATATTGTGATTATTGAAAATGATTCTGAGGGGATTGCCAAGTTAAAAGTCTTTCTGTAGGACCGATTTCACATTAAGGACCTAGGAAAACTCAGATACTTCTTGGGTATTGAGGTTGTTAGATCTAAATAGGATATTTGTTTATTCCAGAGGAAATATGTACTTGACATGCTAGAAGAAGTAGGTTTGCTGGGTGATAGATCAACTGATGTTTCTATGGATTTGAATAAGAAATTGTTAATGGATGATGGTGCACTGTTTGAGAATCTGGGTCGATATCGCAAGTTGGTGGGGAAGCTCAATTATCTCACTATTACTCGACCGAATATTTCCTATGCAGTTAGTGTTGTAGGTCAGTTTATAGAATGCTCTAGAGTACCTCATTGGGAGGAAGTCACTTGCATTCTTTGATACTTCAAACGTGCTCTTGGTTTTGGGTTGTTGTATCGAGCTAATAGACATCTTAAAGTGAAAATTTTTATAGATGTTGATTGGGCTGGCTCTCCTTCCGATCGAAGATCAGCCACTGATCACTGTACTTTCTTGGGAGGTAACGTTGTTTCATGAAAAAGTAGTAAACAAACAGTGGTTGCAAGATCCAGTGCTGAGGCTGAGTATAAAGCAATAACACATATAACTAGTGAGTTGATGTGGTTACTACACTTTCTTTGGGAAATTGACTTTCCAGTTCAGTCTCCTTTATAATTATTTTGTCAAATATCCACATCGTTGGCAATTTAGTATTTTACAAGAAAATCAAACATATTGAAATTGATTTTCATTTTATTCGGGACAAGATAATAGTTGAGATATTACAACTCATTTTGTGAGGTCAGACGATCAACTTGCAAATATGTTTACTAAAGTATTGACTTGTACTCGTCTTACAACCATTTGTTCTAATTTTGGATTATATGATATATACAGTCTAACTT